CCCTTAGGGGACTCGCCTGGTGGTCGGGGTGAAGTATACATAGGTGATTCCGCCCCGGCCATCACAAGGCTGGTGAGCTTTTTGTCACGGGGGTGGGTTTTAGTTGGTAGGCACCGGTTTTAAAAAGCTAAACAGCAAAGAGACCGGTGAATCCAACACTACCCCGGCGCGGGGACAGTCGGACTGTCTCATTGCACGTGCTGAGGTGTCTTTTGAAGATTTCCCACCCCCTGGGGGGCCTTTAAAGACCCCCCAAATAAAAAAAAAAGGCTTTTATGGACTGAAAAACATTGATATTCGTGCTCAGCGCATTGAATTCTACCGGAATTGGTAAAGTTTTCTCACTTTTGTTATTTTATTAAACTTATATCTTGTTAACAAGATACTCACTCTTAAAGTGAGGTTAAGATACCTTGTGCTGTACAAGCTCAGCATAAACTCCTCTTGGACTGAATTATTATTAATAATCACGTTTATTGAGAACGTTTGTGGCCATTTGTGCACCAATTTATTCATATATATGTATTGTTTTATTAAACTTTGTGTTAAAAGAGATGTGTGTGGATAACTCCAGCGCATGCGCGATTGCACCCTGAGGATACAGGTGGCACATTAATCTGCTACAAATTATTATATTTGTTCATTATAAGTGATTTACTTTATTAGTGTTATGTAAGTGGAGGCCTATGGACATGGAGGACTATGGACACCATAGTCGCCCCTCTAGTGTACTGAGCTACCGATGGTTACCCATAGTATGCGTATTCGGGACAGTGGTGCTTAACCCTTTGGGGCCGGCTGACCGTTACGTTGAATAATTTAATTATAATAATTTTGAGTGATCAACTTAATGAATTTATGATAAATGTTACTATTGTTATCGTTGCTGAGTTGAAACAAACTATTATTACACTTTTAATGTTTGAACAATACGTGACAAGCATTGTGCATTGATGCAATTTTTCTAATGCAAGAGGAATTTGTTAATAACAATTATTTACTTGAATCTATTGAAGGTGTAATAAACTATGGTAGTATTTCATTTCTATCTTGATAGTCTTAAAACTCTTCTATACGTGAAAAAGTATGTTCTGATTTGTAGGTTATGTTACACCTGTTAGAATAGTAATGATATTGAGCTTTATTGATTATTAATTATACGATTTTATCTATTTGGACATAAACTGCAGCTGCTAGTGACTTTAGTGCATCGATCATGGCGGTTGCTTATCTATGCATTTATACTTTATGCTCATATGAGTTTTATTGAGTTTTTCACTGAGCGGCACTGAGTGCGCACCGAAAACTTGTTCAGTAGCAGCAGCACTGTACGAGGTTGCCGAAAGTGCGAGTTTCTTGCACTCCCAGCTAAACAAAACTACATGTGTCAAGTGCAATATTTCTGGATTTACATTTTCTGGAAAAATGATGGAACAATCAGAGAAATTAATTTACTTTAAAGTCAATAATGACATGCTGACATTAAAACTTGAATCAAGTGAAATTGATTTATTCAATAAATTGACAAGAAAGTAAAATTATAAAACTTGTCTGATTTTAAGATTTTAAGGTTATTTTTGTGTAGATTATTGACAATAAAGATGTATATAGTTTTTGGATATTGTACTAAAAATATTTGAAAAACTTGAATGAATACAATGCATAATATAAAACTTTAAGAATTTATTTGCATAGTAAAAAGCATAAAATAATAATTGTTTTATTTTAACCACTGCATTCTGTACGTAACGTTCACCATACTCACTCCCCTTTGCGGAACCCGAACAAGATCTTCTCCTGGGAAGGATGGTGATCGTCGAACCGAGTTTTTCAACACTGGCGATAATAGCTTTAGCCTCTGCGCACGCCAGAGACGCAGGGGCTAGCCCTTCACAGGATGACGACCTGCAGGGAGCAGGGACGATACCCTTTATGTGCCGGTTCCCGGTATCCGACGCCGGGACGTTTGTATCCGTAATTTTGTTCATGTCCATATAATATTTGCGTGGTTTTATTTAACAAGATTTTTCCTTCTCTTGTTGAGACAATACATATATCCCGGTAGTTGTCTCATTCTTTTAGTTGTAAATAAAGTCTACCAGAATCAATTTTGATCGATTACAAATAAAAAATTATGCATTTTGATCATATACCAAACAATTCTCATACAGTTCAATATATCATAGATCTATTCACAGGTATCATAAGTAAAAGTCTCAAAACAATCCATTCGAAAACTTCAGTAACTCAACGTAATCGATCAAAGTACTAAACGAAATAAACACATTTCAGTCATAATAGTTCATAATCAAATAATAACAAGCAATATGCTGTATAAGATTACATGTCCAACAATTACATTTAACACTGAGCATCAAGCTTATAACAAAATAAACCTTAATAGCTTCCAATACTCATATACATACAATTGTATTTATTTATTATTCATTTATTTATTTATTTATTTAATTATAATATTAATCATCTGTGTTAATAAACACCGTTTTCTGTTCAGGTATATCCAACTGGATCTTCTCGCATCAGGAAGTACAGGGTGAGGAGAGAACGAAGAATCACCCCCCTCAATCACCCTTAACGGTCTATCAGTTTGCTTATTTATTTATAATCATTTATGTATGTCAGACCATATAAGATTATACACCATCAATAATACAGCCCAATACTCACATAGATAAAGTTCAAAATATCAGTGTACTATTCACTAATATTAACAATTAAAGTATAGTCCAGTAAGATTCAATACAAATTATTTAATAATAATCCCTCTATAAACGTACCATGAAATCAAAGTACTAAGCAATTCAGTATGCTATACACATTCAAATCGTATATGAATCAAACAGTTTAATTACATTAAGAACAGAGAGTGTTCCGTAAGTATCGAATTAATTATTAACATATTAATCATTTATTAATGACATTTTCTATTTTAGATGTATCCATCCAGTTCGTCTCATGATAATATGCACGAGGTGAAAGGGGAAAAAAAGCCTCCTCCTTCAATCACCCATATAAGTATATAAGTTTATTCTTTATTCATCCATATGTAGTATAGTATACAAAACCTGTATAATACTCAGCCTGAATAAAGTGAATTCCAGGTCACTTGTAAATTTTATTAGTATAAATAGCATCCCCAACAAAATAGGAAATAGCATATAATTACACATGTGCTATATGCATGTTATCCACGCCTCCAATATATATTGTAGATCATCCTCCGCGCACACATAAGTATCCACTGGTCAAATAAGCAAGAATAAAGATCTAATGATCCACTGGTAAGTATCAGATCCCTTTCACACTTGCTTATTTCTAGTAATCTATAATATTGTTCAAAGTTCATACAATAATACATTTAAATCATTAAATGCAAAGTCCCACATATGTATAACAGGTTCAGCGCCATATAACGCGAACATTGCTCTCCAGTTCATTAGAAAACTCCTTATAACACAATATACAACATAAACATTGCATAACTTCGCAAAAAACCATTATCTTCAAGGTAATTTAACTTAAACTCTATTAATAATTAGTATCTAGAATTGTTCTTCTTTTCCAGGCACATATTTCTAATAATTCAAGATAATATAATATATTATAATCTATCTCACAATATAAAGAAAATATCATTCATATAGTCTTATGCGATTTACAAAAATAAGTCCTAATACATAAATGTACACGTATATACATAATATGCACATATAATGTAATAAATTACAATTTCCAAATAAAAATTCATTCACTCAATGTATATTATGTCACTCAATAGAAAGAACTCTCATTAATAAAGCATAACTGCTCATATCAGTCATAATATTCCACACACGAGTGTTCAAGTTACAAGATTTATCTTATAACGGACAGCTTAAAAAATATTAACAAAATAATCGAAAAATCATCAATTAAATAGATCATCGAGTGACAAAATAATCCAAATTACTATAAATATATATGAAAAATCAATTAAGTATATATTTCATAAACTATAATGCGACATCAAAGTATAAACTGTCACAAGCTACATTATCTTGCGCGAAACAATATGTATGTGAGAAAGTACACACTTTTTCATACCAACATACGAAAACCAAGTACATTCATCACACTTGATAGTATATATCACAGATCAATCCATTGACATAAAGTAGTCGTCCACTCCTATACCAGGTCACACAAATGTTCCTCGAGATCATTCTATAGGTAATCCATATAATCCTGAGTAGCCCTCCGGATCAATGAGATATACGTTTAATCAGGTCACAGGATCCCATGTCACGTAAATACATACTCCATTACCTCACGACAAATCACGATGTACATGTGACAGGTTAATCTGCAAGGATATAATAGTCAATAACTTATATAAACAATAAGTAAGTTTGCTCTGCAACAAGCATCCAAACACAATAGAAATATAATTCTTAGCATTAGAAATAGTATATCGCGTAACTCTTAGAAAAATATTCATATAAGTACATATATATGAATGATTCATCTAAAAGATTAACAGTTCAGTTCACTAATACCGACTATAATTGCTTCATGCGATAAATGACAACAAATGTTCAAAATAAGTGCTCAAATAAATAATCAAGAACGTACGTTATATGCCTCAGATACATATAACCGTTAAAGATATTTGCACACTTGTCACAATTCAACATGTGATTATTGTCTCATTTACTACATTCGATGCTAATAAACGATAAATCAAAGCAATTTAGCGGTAAGTACTGATAAATATTGTACACGTATCGGAACGTATGGTGTCCCTCGCCGGCAACGGTTACGTGTATGAAACAACCGAAGGTTGTTTAAAATTAAAAAAAAAATTACCTTTTTCTTCAAACATGTTCTTCTCGAACCTCTCCCGTTGATAGACTATTTTACTATTCCAGCAGTACGAGCATATGATTTCCAGTCGTTCTTCATCGTCCTCCATTTGTAGAAAATCTATGTCGTTTATATAATGAATGTTCTCGTCGTTCATCAGAAAAATGGCTACGGTCTTTTCTATCACGACTTGGTCCAATAGCTCTTTGATGTCTGTCTCCTGTTCCTTGACGTAAGTTATGCGTCGTAGACCGTGGTCCCTCTTATGGCCAAATAGTGCTCGTACGACGCAAACGTTCTGCTCGTATTTTGTGACGAATGCATCCATGAGCTGTAGCGCCTGCTCCTGCGACTCCTGACATTCTTGGACGATCCATGATGGAGTTAGCTGCAAGAAATAAAAATGTTTTATATATTATAGAAAAAAACCTTTTAAAAAGTGTCATTACAAAACAATACTTACTACTTTTCGATACTGGAAGACTCTCTCCACCATCTTATTCATGTAAAGCCTGAGTACATCGTCGCTGAAGGATATCGCCAGGGCCGAATGTACGATTTTGTGGCCCCTAAGCTATGATCTTAAGGAGGCCCTCTCTTATTAACAAAAAATACATTTTTTAAAATCTTTTCTATACTAAAGAGGCCCCCTTATAATGTGAGGCCCCTAAGCTGTAGTTTATCTAGCTTATGTGTAGATCCGGCACTGGATATCGCGACCATTCTATAAAATTGACAGTCTGAAAGAAAGAAAAAATGAGGTTAACGTTACACGTCTGACATTGTATCACACATTGTGATACAAATCGTACGACGCGGTACGACACGACTGCCAGTGATGTATTTTGCAGCGAAATACATCACTGGCAGCAGTGCGATGTCAGCGTTGTATGATTTGTATCGCAATGTGTGATATGGGGTGCGTTCAAGGAGCGCGCTATCAGCGCTATTGTGTCATTCTATCCCTGTTTTATGTCTAATAAGTGATAAAGATAGAATGACGCAAATGGTGCTAATAGCGTCTCCCTGAACGCACCCCATGTCAGACGCGTCACCGAGGACAGAAAATAATCCTACCTTTTTTTTTGCATGAACAGGGGCACGTGCGCAGGCCAAGAAAGCAGACCAAGAAGGTGAAGAACTGATTATTTTTGTAAAAATGTTGCATCTCAGTTGTTGCACAACGTACACGTGCGACGTTTCAACGATCATTGAATACAATTTTGAAGATGGGCGAACATGAGATCGACATAGACATAGGAATATAGAGACGGAGCATAAGCTCAATACATAGACGAGGGGGGTGATCAGTGTTGCTAGACGGGACGCTTTTTTTCACGAACGCACTTGAGAATCGGCCTTAACGGTGTACTAATTGAGGAAAAAAAGGGCACTTGTAGACCCTTCTATTAAAAACTATTAGAAAATTTTGTTTATCGTTAAAAAGTGATAAAAAGTAATAAAATAATAATAAATTAAACGCATGTAAATATTATGTTTATTTTTATAATAATAAAATAATTAATAATATTAATAAAAATAAGCTAAAAAGGAAAGAATGTTTAAATAATTGTTAATAACATTTTAATAACAATAAAATATTTTATTTGGCAGAATTATTTTCCCACTTTGCAAGAACTTCTTTAATAATATTGGTGCACTTTGATCGAGCCAGTGAAAGATCTTGCACGATTGAAGAATCTATACAAATGTCTTTTAACAAAGGAACTAAGTGATCTGCGGTATAAAGAGCAACGTTATGTTCAGAATAAAAAGCTGCTAATTTAATTTTGGCTCGTTTAACGTTTTCAATATGAGAATTTTTGGAATGTTGGCTTTGGCTTTGACTTATTTGAGAATTACTGTCACAATTTTTAATATGTTTAGCCCTTTGTGAATGTCGTATTAAATCTGATTTACAGCATCTAATGGTAATATTGCACAAGTTACAAATTGCCTTATTTTTCGTAGGATGAGGAGCCAGCCATCCTTTAAATAAATCGTCAGCTAACCAAGAATTTTGAAAATTTTTAATATGCGTCTTTTTAATGGCTCCTTTTGAACTATCCATATTTCGCGTAACAAAAAATACATATAAATATATATATGATATAAATATTATTATTTTTTACATGTACTCACCTAACTTTTTCCTGTAGCCTGTCAAACGTCTAACTTTTCGCGCCAGCACCCAACACTATAAGCCGTATACACCGCTGGATTCATAGCTACAGCGCTGCGCATGCGCGAGAAAAAACGTCCCGTCTAGCAACACTGGGGATGATGCCACTGAGGGACGGGTAGTGTGCCCATTTTTTATTGGTCAAAATATTGGTCAAAATGCGCATGTGCAATTCCCCTTAATATGAAAAATTGTCAACCATAGTTACGATTTCTTTCCTCTTTTATAGCGTTTTTCACTGGTCGCACTGGTGCGCACCAAGATCTATAGAGAGAAGGTAACCTCATGCGCAAAGAGGGACGAGGGGCAAGAGGGGCTAATGCTGTGCGGGGCGAGCGGCAAGAGGAACAAATGCTGAGCGGGGCGAGCGGCAAGAGGGGCAAATGCTGAGCAGGGCGAGCGGCAAGAGGGGCAATGATGATCTCATCGTCAAACAGTAGCTGTCTCTCTCGCACGCTTTAGTGTTTTCTCTCTCGCTCCTTTAATACAGAAATGCTTTGAGTTTATATCAAAAAAATACTTTTATTTTGTAAAATATTGATAGCACTGGAAATTGCGTAATAAAAATTGAAAAGTAAATTAGAAAGGCGCTATAAATTACATATATTGCAAATTATAGCGCTAGATATTTAACGTTTATAATGTTAAATATCGCTGCAACAGATGCATTTGTAATACAAATTGCTTTGTACTCGTATTTAGACTGTAATATCAATGAAAATAAAATATAATTTGGGGATATACACAAAAAACATCATTTGTAAAGTAGTAAAATAAAAGAAAAAATAGTACATATTTAAAAATTATTTTTAAAATAATATTTACTGTTTATATGCATTATTTACAAAAGAAATATAAAGAAATTTATTTTTTATATTTAATTGTGAAAACCTCAAAAATTGTCAAGAAATTGTAACTGAAATTTATAAATGTAAGTACAATTCTAGGATAATATAAAAAGCATCATACACAAATTTATTATGATACAAACTTAAATAATGAAATTGTAATATATGTTTCAATATTGCAAATGTGAATATTTATATGATAAAATTTACAAAGTGTTAACAATTTTCAAATATTTGCTAATAAAATATTATTGAAATGTTTCTGTTGAAATCTTAAAATAATTCTTTAAAACAAATATGATGGGGTATATATTAGGGATCATTAAATATGCAGCAACATTGTGATTATAAAATTTTATAAGTATCTATAATAAAAATTAAGTATAATAAACATAATAAGTATATAAGTATAATAATAAAATTTTTATAAGTATTTATAATAATAAAAATACATATATGTTGTATTAATCTCTGTTAATATAAAGAAATTTATTTTTGTTAAATTAATTAATAATTTTTTAT